GGCCGAAAGGAGGCAGTGGAGAGAGACTCAAAAGAAGCTGACAATCCACCTCTTGCAAGGCCGTCACCTTTGGTACGCGCATACAGGTTAGGATGTTTCATCCTGATGACTCGAGAGCAGAGGAAAAGAATGAAGCGACAAAACGAATTCTTTCCTTTGCGGGAACCGGTAGGTCGGCAAGGTAGCTTTCAGCTGCCAACTCTTGAAGGTAACTTTCCAAAGTCACTTGGGAAACAAGTCGCATCCGCCATAAAATACTTTGGGTGCTTTCACCGCGCCGGTAGGCCGATATGGCCCCTCCCCCTCGGATACTCGCAGGAGTGGGTCTGAGAAAACGCGGGACTCCGAACAGAATTAAAAGTCGGCCCCATCGGGTCTGGAAGGCGGAAGCACTTAAAGGGAATAGCGGCAGGGAGCCATCTAGTTCTCCAAAAACGGAGGCTATGTACTGGACGGTCTCCGGTCTTTCGACTTTCAATTGCTGGATCCGCCCCTTTCCACGTCGACGACTTTTGGGCTTTCTGATTTTCAGAAAAATCGCCGGGTGACTAGAGTCAAAAAGGTCTTCCGGGAGCACAAGATCTTTCCGTCTTGCATTCAAGACCTCGCCTATCCTAGCGATGCCTTCATAGCCTAAAAGAAAGGTAGCAGCCCACCGATGCCAGCCTTTAAAAACTGCAGCAGTGAACATCGCTTTGAAAAGGGTTTCAGGCAACGGAATGCGGTGTTTGAGAGGTCTGACTTCCTCCCACCTGACCAGAACATTCCAGGCGGGGCTAAGAACAGGTTTGAGCAGTGGGTGGTCTTTTTGTACCACAACCAACAGGTGCCGCAACTCGTACATTGGCTCCCCGGTGCTAAAGCAATGGATCCCATACTGGCGGAGAACTTGCGAGGCCAATAGAGGGCAAAGGAAAACCTGAGTGCATGTATCGTGCGAGAACTGCAGGCGCAACCACCGGTCGAACTTCCTCAACACTCTGTCCGGGATGATCAGCGTGGTCGGCTCATGAAGCTGGGCCTCAAACAATTCGTCTATATCCCTAGGAGCAGGGGGACGGTGCTTGGGAGGTCCTGGTTTCTTCGCCTCCCCAATCCGCAGATGAGAGCACCGAGCGCACTTAGCTCGATGCCACTGGTTCTCAATCTTTGAAGGCTTAAGGCCTGCAGCGCGACCAAGCGCTTTGGCAACCTCCAAGCATAACTTCCGAGGGTAGACCTGAGCAAGTCGGGTCCAGCTGCTCTGATGTAGTCTGCTGCGCCCTCTGAGCTGCTGATGACAATGCCCCCCGCTACACAGGCGTGGCACGCCGGCTAGCTCTGTGTTGGTGCAGATGCGCGTTCTCTTTCTCCAGGCCGTGCCGTAGGAGCACATGTCAAACCTGTAAGAGTTCTCAAAACGTGCAAGTCCACTAGCTAGCCAGTCGGGCATAAGCCAAAGGAAGGAGCCGTCAGGGTTCTCCGCCCAATAGACGAGATGTTCGTCACGAGCTTTAAGGAGCACAGCCAAAACAAAAGCAGCATGACAGTTACCTGTAGCAACCTTCTTTGCCATGTTTTCAGTGAGATTAGGGAGACCAGCCGGGCATTCTCTCGATCGCACAGCGGGGTTGACCGCTCTCGAAAAACTGCAGCACTCTGGCGCTGCGCCAACGCACCAGCGTCAATAAGCTGTAGAATGGCAGTTTGCACTGCTGGGTCCATAAGGTTCTGACCCTCCCCATGACAAAAATCAAAGGTAAGGACCCAGGTGTCAAAAAGTTTACTCAAGCTCTTGGCCACCCCAGCGGCCCCTGAATACAAGTCCAAGAAACCTCTTCGACTAGGTTCAAAAGGCGTCTGAGCTCGGATGCCACCAGGTCGCAAGAACTGTCCAGGCGGTAGGGCAGCAAGGAGCTCCTTGGCTTGGGCGGAAAGCGCAGGCAGCTGCGAGGCTTCATTTCTGCAATGCTTCTTCCGGCGACTGGCCGCCGGCTGCAGGTCTCTAGGCGGGGCAGCAGCGCAATCAGCAGCTGAGTCGCTGGACTCAACATGGACATGTCTTTTGGAGGGCGGAGTCACCCTCTTCAAAACAACTGGAACAGCGGTGATGGGCCTTTCTTCGATTTCTTCATTCTCTTGAGGCCTCTTCTTTTGCTTTTTGGTTTGGCCATTAGGCTCATTCTTCTCTCTTGAATCGTTCTTGTTATCGGTTCCGTCAAGGGGTGAAACATGACAGGGCGCTGTATTGCCCTCATCAAACCGAGCCATTCGCTCGGGCTTCTGTACTCGGCGTAATGGGTCTACAAGCAAGCTGTTTAAAATCTGTGGGTCGTGACTGCTACCATCACAAAAAGGAAGTGCAGCTACCTGTTCCGGCAAAAAACCTATCTTCCCTAGCCAAGCATCTAAGCTTAAAAAATCCCCTCTCAGACAGGCCGCCAAGTCAAAGATCGTCTCCCGAAGCGGCTGTCGAATCGGCTGGCCTCGGGTAGGATCGTCAGCCACATTCGCAAGTGAGCCATTCCCCAAGATGTTGGGCAAACTCTTCCTCAACAATGTGTTCAGGCTAGGACTGGAGCTTCGACCTTTTACGATGACTGCCAGGGCAACCTGACTATCTGCCGCCAAAACGTAGCGGCAATCCCGATGTCGGAGTGCCAATCTTTCTTCAAGCTCTAAAATACTTTGCAATTCCAGCAAGTTGATATGTTTTTTGGTCTTGCAATGCCGCTTATGGTGCAACTTGAAAGGGAGGGCCTCAGCAAGCTCTAACCACAACGGGTGGCTTACCAAAGGCACCCCTGCAGGAAGTTCCTCGGAGATCTCAAGCTGGTCATGTGACTTTAGCCACTGCTGCCAAGGGGTCAGGAGCTTTCCCCAGGTGCCGCGTGCCAAACAGTGCCGTTGTAACTCCTTAACGAAGGACCATGTCAGCTCAGATTTCACTGACGCCGTGAACTCTTCCGAGGCGTCAGACATGAAAAGCTCTCGATGGCTGCGAGCTGATAGATCTGTAACCGCCAGGGGACCAAGGGAGACCAAGCACCACAACTCTGAGATCGCACAAGGTGACAGTGCGATAATGGCATCTTGATCACGTCCCTGCTGGGCGAAGTAGATATGTTCCAGCAAGCACAACATGCGACGTCTGACCTGCAACACTGAGATCCATGACCCTGCCAGAACCTGAAGTAGGCCTACAGTCGCAAATCCCAGCAGCGCAACCCGACTCGTGATCCACATCAACGGCACCAAACGTTTTGGAGAAGCCCGGACTAATCCAGTCTTCCCGTCAATCAAGGCACCCCAGCACTCAGCTCTATCTGCACGTCGGAAGGTCTTTTTGGGGTGAGGTTTCAAACCCCGTTGAAGATACTCCTCACACAGTCGGTCGAGGCGAGCTTCACCGTCACTGTATGCAGGAGCGGAAGCAGGCAGCACTTGCTCAGCGATCAGGACGTCGTCTATCACCACTCCACAGGCGACATTCCCCCGAGGCGCCCGGCCGTGAACAGTCAACAACTCTGTCGTGGCGAATGCTGTGGATGTGAATCCCAGTTGCAGGTGAGCGCATTGGCCTAATTCCACTGCCTGATTGTCTCCCATAGCAAGTGTAGCTAAACAGGGGTAAAGAACTTCATGCTCTTTCATGGACTCATCAAAGCACTGCAAAAAAGAAGCTTGCTGCGGTGTCAAAGGAAAAGCTAGGGCATTCCGGCGGGCTCTGCGCTTGCTCACACGGTAGCAATAGTAGTAGTCACACAAATCTGTGCCACTCAGCCATAGTTGGTGCCCTGGTCGCAATTCTAGTTGAGTCAAAGCAGTCACCGAACCCAGGGTCCTCGTCCAGTCCGTCAGGGCTTCTTCCAACAAGTTGGGAGGTCGAGCATCGAGGATCATGCGGTCTTTGTCCTGATCTTTGATCAATGCGAACACTCCACACAGATGCTTCGAGCGGACTTCTGTTTTCGGAGCCAGGGAAAGTCGCTGCCGTTCATCCAGAAAACGCAGAAGATCAAACGCCTGCTGCCTGGACGCGTGCAGGTGTACTTTGGGTGGTGGCGTGCTGACTGTCAGCGGGTCACTGGCGAACTTCAAAGGGTCCTCAAAGACAGCGAGGTGATGAGGAGGTAGAAGGTCTCCAGGTCTGAATTCGGGAGGTTCCATGGGAACAGATAGCCGGGGGGTCTCCACTTCCTGTGCGACTATGGGGTGGCTTGTTTTCAAATGACCCACTACTTTGCCAGCATCTGTCGAGACGCCAACTTTCAAAAAACCTGGCTCGTGAGGGCGCCGCTTGTATGATTCAGGCAGCATGCTCAGGGCCACTCCATGCAAGGTCTCCAACAAGGAGTCCAAACTTTCTACTTTGGCTGCGGTGCGGCCCATCTGAGCTGGCCCCACCGCATCTGCCACAGCGATCTCATCCAGCAGCTTTTCGATCCTATGAACTACAGCCCACTGCTTCCGAGACAATTTTGTCTGGAGGCTCAACTCAGGGGGTGCAGCGTTGGTGCGGTTCAAGTGTAACCAGGAGAGAGCTAAAATGGCAAAGTTCACGACTTTCTGCTTGCACATCTGCCTATAGCCCTTGGTCCCCACGGCTTTGACCACACCAGGTTCAAACCACTTGGGATAAGGCGCTGGCATCGGCCAAAGAGATGAAGCTGAGCTCCCGGACGTTGGGGGCACGTGGCCAAGAAAAGAGCGGAAAAAACACGAAAAGGGGCCAGTCGACTTGCGCAGCCACCTGGTCATTGAATTCCACAATCGTTGAACACTGCAGAGAGGCGCTCCGGCTCCCGGCACATGCATGGCCGCATCTTTCATCTCCCGAGCCCGGCGCTGTGCGCGCCTCGGCCATGGGCATCAGGGCTCATACCTCCAGTGCCTAGTTGGTGGACGACGGTTTCTCGTCGCCGCCCCCCTTGTTGGCACCTTTCCCTTTTGGTTTCTTGGTTGACTTGTCCGGCTTCTCCGGGCCCGCCTTGTCGGCGGCCGGATCCTCCGTCCTCCGGCTGGAGGAGCCCAACTTGCTCTTATTGTCCTGATAGTCGTGGATGTCGCGCAACTTTGCCAGAAACAACTCCAGCCAGCGCTCGTCTATCAGCTTTGTGTGGGGGCTCTCCCAATTCTCCAACGGGCGATGAGTTGCAAAGGATGAGAAGGGAGGAGGGTCCTCCAGGCTGATTTCTTGAGCCACCAACCATGAACCCCTGTCGATACCCTGCTGGTCGAAGGAGGCGACACCCAAGGCACATCGAGCGCGGGCCTCGTCGGTTTTGCCTTGTCGCAGAGCATCCCAGACACCGCCTAAAATCCAGCAAGCCCGAACCGGTACTTGAAAATTCTGTACTCGACTGCGGTGCTCCAGCCAACCCCGGGCGGAAATGGCCGCCGAGGAAGTCCCCGGCAAGGCGCCCATCTGGCTCCAATCCTCCTCCATGCGCTGCTCCAAGGCCTGGTAGATCAGCTCGGGTTGGAGATGAAGGAGCTTCCTCAATGACCTCAGGGCGGCTGACTTGCTGCGGCTGGAGCCCACGGACCCATCTCGAAGTGAGGCTGATCCAGACTCGGCCCGATCCAAAAGACTCTCCAGTGCGCGATCCTTCTTCAACTTCTTCTCGGCAGCAAGCCGGGTGACAATCTTCGACAAGTGGATCACGGCCTTCTCGACAGGCTTTTGAGACCCACCACTCGGGAGTGGCTCCACTCTGAAGAGCCTGCCGGGCAACGCCCGGATCGATTCCGGGTGGAATGCTGGGCACTGCTGCCTGCCGCTTTCCCACGTCTGCTGGAGGAGGTGGCAAAGGAGCTGCACGAGGTCCTCCGTCTCCAGTCAACCCCGGCGGTGGCGGGGCCAGCCGGGCCAGGCTCACCCTCATGTCCGCTAGCAGCTGTTCGACGGACTGGAGCCTTTGCTCCATATCCAGCGGCGGAGGCCTTCCATCGTCGGCTGTGGCAAACTCGAAATGATCTCGGGCGATGTGTACCAGCGCCCTCGCAAAAGGAATCTTGGGGATGCCCATGGAGTCGACAGGGAAGGGGTAGTCCACCGCTTCGAACTCGGCAGAAAAGTTTTCCTCGTAGCTGCTCTTCAAAAGGCCACACCATAAACGGAAGGTGGGCTGCTGCTCGGGTATTTCTCGTTCGTCGTCGATGGCTCCAGGCACCATGACTTTCACAGCTTTTCGCAAACAGTCTATGGGCAGGATGCGCTTGGCTTTCGTCCGGTCCCAGACCGACTCTGGGACAGCACACAAAACTGCGCCATCTATCTCTGTGATGGCTATGCATGAACATAGTGCCCTGTCGGCTTCAAAGGCGAGGGCACCCACAAGGTAGTCAAACTGAATCTCCTCTCCCGAGACCACTAGGTGATCACGGATACCAGAGCTCTCGGGACACTCTGGTACCTCTGATGCGGTTCCACTCATAGCCATCAGCGCTGGAGCGCCGATGGGATCTCAAGCCCTGCCTCCACCAAGGCCAAGCGAGCTTCCTCTTTCGAAGGGAGCCCAATGAAGATGCCGTCCGAGGGGATGCCCGTGCGCTCGATGCAGAGAGGCTTCGCTTCCGTCCAAGTGAAAAAGAATACGTTCAAATGCCTATCGCGGCACACAAGATAAAGCCGGCTTTGCAAACTCACTTTCTCCCGCCCGCTCGGTCCTCGAGGAGCACCAAGGAGGCAGCGCTTCAACCACTGTCCCACTTCACGAGCAATTTCCCGACGGGCCTCGGAAATCCCCGACGACGAGATAGTCAGGGAGGATGCGGCAGCTTCAGATGCTGCCGGAACCGAAGAGGCCTTAGCCGTACTCACCACTTCAAAATCCTCAGGTTCACTGGCGCTGGCGACAGCGAGAGCAAGGACCCGTGACTCTAAGTCAGCAACTCGTTTCCGCAAGGCCTCAATCTCCGAGCTCTGATCCCGGATCGTAGACAGCAGGAGCTCTAGCTGAGCTTGAGTCACGGGCTTGTTGCTCATGCAAGCTTGTAAAGCGGTTTCTCTTCGCCCAGCTGGAGCAGGCGGCTGCGCAACCAAACTTTCCAGCTCTGGCGTACCAGGTTCACCAAGTCCAGGACCGGGCCGATCAAGAGCCCCAACAGCAATCCGAACCCGACACTAGGAAGGTCCAAGTGGCCTAGAGCAAGATGTTCCCAAAAAGGAGCCAGCTCAGGGCAGGAAGGACAATCGAAGGGCGTCGGAGAGGAGTCGAGGGCCGAAGCGAGCAGCTGCAAGGCTATGGCGGAGATACTACCGCTAGTAGCCCCCGCTGCAAGCGACCGGTCCATACGCTTGACCCGAAATTCTAGGAGTCATCATGTGTGCATCCAAGGACATATATCAGTGCTTTCCAAATTTTAAACCTGCTGCTGACAGGGTCGCAACCTTTGCCAATTCATTCCCCGAAATGAACCAGAATTGGGCCCAAGGAGGGAAAGAGATCACAGGAACATGGGCTTAAAAGGGGGGATGATAGCATAAGCCATGGCCAAGCCGGCCTCAGGGCACCGATGAGTTTGGCCACGGTGGTGGGCTTGACTTCGCAGCGCTTGGTGTCGCCCGCCTGGCTTTGCCCCACCCGCGTGGCTGCATAAACGGCCTCAAGGAGGTCGTAGCCCAACTTGGAAGCATCGTCCAAGCCTTAGATCAGGTTGAGGGCAAGAAAAGGCACCTCAAAATGGAGGGGGGGCCCAAGTTACGATCCGGCACCCTTTGGAAGCCCAGCTAGACCGAGTCTGAGGCCGGGGTACCGCGGCGCCAAACTCCCCAGACCAAGCCTTGAATGCCTCCAGCCAGTGATGCAGCCAGCCCAGACAGTGCATCATTCAAGCGCTGCTGCTCTTTGTCCGCAGCATCACCTTGGGAGCCATTGCCATTGCGGTGGCGGGCTCCAAAGGGCTGACTTGGAGATTGCAAGGGGATGCAGCCGGGATGAAAGCATGATTGAGCACAAGAAAAGTGCACTTTCTTCTTCACCTGACCATTTCTTGAATGATGGTTGAGTCAGGCGAAACTTCACTCAACCCTCGAAGATGTCCGAGCCTGTGAGTGTTCCGCACCGCAGCACTGCGTTGGTCTCTTTCGAGAGGGCTGGCAGCAGCACATCGCGGATCAACGGCCAGCGACAGCCTTGATGGTACTGAACGGCCATGGCCACCTTGGCGGTACATACATGTATACATGCATATCCTGTATGCACATACCAAATGCATACATGATGTGTATGTGCATATATCATTTGTATGTGTATATATATATATATGCGTGTATGTGATTGTATGTGTATGTATATATATATATATCTACAACTTGTAATTGTCGACGCCTCTATACATACTTGTTTAAAGCATAAAACCGTAAGTATAGCTCCGCGGTGGAAGCACAACTGCACCCCAAGGCTTCGAGGCGCCGTCTCCATGGCGCGCGAGCGCACCGCAGAGAAGCCGCTGCTGAAAATCTGCTTCGTGAGCTCTTCAATGAGCCTGAGGAAACGTCCAAACATATGGCATGTAATTACAGTAAATACATATCCAACATATGGCAACGTCTACTGTTAGTGATCAATGATCTTTTGGTGATCTATCTATGATATGATTACAAATCATTGGATTTGGGGAGCGATCGCAACATTGGACATACCCATTGACTGTTGGCAGAAGGGGAATTGAGATTCTTAAGAAAGCAGTCCAAAGAGAATAAGAGAGAAATATGTGAAGAAATCGTGAGAAATCAGGGTTCGATCTGCTCCATCTTTTGATTCCTTTTGGCGATCAGGATGCCCTGCTTGAAACAACCATGGAAACGAAAAGGCGGTGCCCATATCGACCAGAAATATCTTGCGATGGGTTGTGGGGTAAACCAGCGTTTTCGGTGGAGAAGCAAAAGGCCTGAGAATCAAAACGCGCGTCAAACAAGAATGCAGAATGCAGCATTAGACCTGATGGGGAAAGGATGAGCGGACCACACTCTAGGCATGGGACATGTATATATATATATATAAACACTTCAGAAATGCTGCAGCATGCATAAAGGCACAATACATTTTGAGGGTGTCTGTCCGAGCAAGGCCAGCGTGTGCAAGGAACACCTCCCCTTTCCCGCAATCAAAGAAAGGTTCAATTGGGTGTCCTCATTGCGTGTTGTACTAAATGCTCTCACGTGCGACTGCTTCATACCGCTTCCCTGTCCATGGTCAACATCCCACCCTCCAGACTTTCCCCTAACCTACCAAGCCACTCGCGGCGTCTTCCCTGGTAGCGATGCCCTCCGCGCCGCTGGTGCACCCTGTTCTCCATGGTGTCCGCCACCCGCTCCACCCACCAAACACGGGGCAGATCCCGCCAGCGCGAGTGCGTGTGAAGCATCTCCAAAGACGTGGATTGCAATGCCAAACCAGCAGCGTGCTTCTCAACATGCCTCCAGTGACAATGGGCTGGTCAAATCGAGAAGCAGAAAAAAAAATGGCATGACCCTCCCAAAGGAGTTGGATAGATTGTGAAACGGGAGAAAAACAAGAATCGCGGCATGCAAAAGCTGGGCGGCGCGTGTCGTTTCGGCGGGCACGGTGCCTGCCTCAAGCTGGGAAAGAGCCTCAAGCTACTGGGGTGCGTGTCGCTGAAAGCCCCGATCAGCTCTGCGACGCATTTCAGCAGCTTCCTCATCACACGGGACACATCAATAGGATCCAGTTTGCCACTGGTGGGCGCAACCGAACCATACTGTTCCTGAGCTGCCAGTGTTTTGAAGGCGGACAGAAGCACCGTGGAAAGCCAGTCGAAAATGACCTTGGCTGTGTCGCCTGCAATCTTCAAGTTGCTTGGAAGCTGTCGCAGTTTCAGCTCCTCGTTGCTGCGCTCGTCCGGCCACAAATCACAGGTGCCTCTCAGAATCTGCATGGCCAAGCGGATCCCCAGAACTGCACTGTGAGCCAACTTCTTCTTGCTTGGAAGATTCGTAGAAAGACCTGCCAGCCATGAGCTGGTGGCCATGTTGAGAGCTGGAAGGGCAATTCCCATGGTGGCGGTCAACATCTCCCCCACTTGAAGGAGAACGCCAAAGACCAGATCTCTGGCCCATGCGACCTGGTTCCAGGCTGGCGGATGAAGACATGTACACCGAGCAAGTCTTGCTTGATGGATCTCCCCAATGTTTGTTCCAACATGGGAACTTGTTCAAGCCAAAAAAGGTCAAAAGCAATCATTTGAGCAACAATGTTGGAGAACCAGAAATCCTTGACCTTTGGCTCAAGTCTTTCAGCCAAACTTGTCGTTTGTGGAATGCTGGGTCCAGTCTGAAGGGAAGGGAGGTTTCGGAGAGTCACTATTATATGCTTTGGCATGGTTTCAGCCAGCTGCAAATATAGCCTCCGGCAACCGACCCAGCAATGGGACATCCTCAGTGTCCAAATGCTTGTATAAATCTCACAAAGAAGCGTGATCATCCTTTTCGTCTTCTTCAAGTACTAAATTGGCATGCTGCAGAGTGTGAATGATCCTGCCCATTAATAAGGATATATAACTTCGATGTGGTCAACCATGGTCGGCCCAATTAAACCTAATGAACCCAATGGCACCTATTAACCTGTCTATTGTAACCAAACACACGTATGTACACTGATAAGTTCCAGGTTCACCGTGGGTTTCATTGTTTTTGGCACTGGGATAGGTTCATAGGCGGGTCAGTGTCCGCAAGGTTCAACAGGCATACACATGCATTCAATGCATACAAGCCAATACCCAGCTGTTGGAAACGATGGAGCTTGCAATCGGGGGGCTCTCATACCCCTCGATTGTCCAATGACAGAAACCTGAAAACCTTCCTCGGAGATTTCAAGCCGGAAAGTGATCCAAATCCTTGCACGGCCTCTTCTTCCCTATGTCACAATGTCGCCGCATGTGACAACCTACTTCGAAGGAATTGAAATTTATGGAATGTCCATGAATTTCTCGACCCTCCCCCTCTTCCTCGGCCTCTTCTTCGGAGGGCATGTGCCACTTCACGGTCGACTCGGCATCGGTGAACCACCAGGGAGGCTGCGCGCCAGACCACACCAGGGTCGTCAAACCCGCCGGTGGCGGGACGGTGCTGCCCAAACGGCAGGCCATCAGGGTCTGCCACACGCCATCGTTGCAAAGACGGTAGTCGTTGCACACATAGACAGCCTCACGCAGTGCGTGAGGAATTTGCACTGCATTGCAGAAAGAGGGGTGTCTAGGGCAACTTCACCGATAATGAGCGGATTTAGGGGATTGTTGGACAGAGCAAAGGGATGGAAAACATCTTGAGTGAGTACCAGCAGCTGTCAGCGCGTAGAGAATTCGCCGTAACAGCTTCATACCCAGCTTATTCACTGCTTCGCGCTCATCCAGGAAGGTCGCGCGCATAATCATCTCCAATTCATGACGGTGGGGCAATAGGCTGGCACCACCGCAACGGACGGCCGAGCACAGGAGGGATAGCCACCATTTAGCTTCACTTTCTGAGACCTCGCGCTTGGTGAAAAAAACGTTGAAGAAACGTATTCTTCAGCCGTGTGTTTTACACCAATTCAACATGGGACTTACACACCTCCAGCTGGTCTCAGACCCGAAAACTGTTGACTCCACCAACCATTCCAACTCAAGAAACCGAAACCACGTCGGTCCACCTCTCTGGAGATCAAATGACCCCCGGCTGCACTTCCCCCCTGCCGTTTTGCGCGCGAAGAAAGAAGAATTGCTGAAAAATTGAAACCACCTTCTGAAAAAGTCCGTTCAGCAACCAAAAGTATGCTTCAATTAGAAGAAAACACCCCCATCTTTCACCTATATCCCACCAATCACCACAGGCCATCCGCGTAAATCGCCCCAAGGCACCCCAGCTTCGTGTAGTGGCAACACAGTCGATTTGGGCTGGTGCACCAGCAACTTCTTGCAAATCAGGGGCATCACCACCTCTGCGTTTGATCTTTGTTGACGACTGCGTTTGATGGCTGAATCTAAATATATGTGTATGTATATATATATATGTGTGTGTATATACTATGTCCATATCTTTACGACTGGGCCTGGTCTGAGGCATGTAAATTTGCAAATCGGTCGAGGTGATGCAAAAGGGTTTAAGTCAGAAATGGCTCCCAAATTGGTCCATGATTAATTGAGACCTAAACTCAAAAGAACTTGCTCTTCCCACAACTTGTCCAGCTTTCCTGCGGATTTGAAGTATTCAAGTGCTTTCGTTCATAAAGCTCCTATAGCGGTAGCTACATTACGCTTTCTCAGGCTGGGTTCGCCAGAAGGATACTTTTTACATATACATGTTTCGCTTTAGAGGTTGCAAGTGGCTGTTTCTTTTGGGGGTAAGGCAGTGTGCAATATTAAGCTGATGACAGTGCCCATGTGCTTCAGTTGGGCGAGAATTAGACATTGCCTTGTCCCCGTATCAGTGCCGATGCAATGAAGACTTGGTATGGTATTTGTGGTAATCATTACAATCTAACTAACGTGCTAGCTGTCCACCTAGAACCGAATATTACTTGCAATTCCTATGACCTAAGTTAAGCAACAATGTATGCTCAATCCGTAGGGATATAGCACTTGTATAGCAAATTCACATGCAAACAAAAAAGGTTGTCTATGCCACCAACACCTTTCCCACAGCCTTGATCCCACAGTTTGACCCAAAATGATTAAGTGAAGCACTTCGAAAGGTATACGCTTTGGATTCGGTGGCCTTTTGCAAACATGGCGGGATATATAGCTATATATATATACATAGATGTGTGTGTGTGTGATTATTGGTGAATATGTGAGGGTTCACTCCTCAAGCATTGCTTTAGCAATGCCAATTACCATGGGCATTACACTTGCAAGGTGCAAGGCACTGGGATTGCCATCTCGGGGCAGGCACGCACAACAGCAAAGACCAGGAGCCCAGCAGGTTTCACCTTGGCGTTGCGGATTTGGGACCCAAAACAGGGCCCGATTAACTAGGTGAAACCAATGAACTCATTGTATGATCTATGGGTATGCTGCCAAGAACCTCTATATATATATACGTATGAAGGGTCCGCCAAATACAACATATCGATGCTGCCAGATCAACCCGTTGGAAATTGAGAAATCACCGGCTGAACAAGTCCAGATCACTTGATCTGGAAGGAAGTGCGATCCCAGAAATTGGCAAAGGACATCCAGCATCTGCTTGTATGTGTCCTCCAGCGGTTTGCTGTGGCCAATGCTCTTGACACTTGAGGATGCTGGCGGCCCCACAGTCACCACCCAAAACCAGTTCACCCATATGATTCACATGATGGCCTGAAAATGTCAAATCCAATAATCCAATGGTTGATCTTGATGTGTGCCTTCAAAATTGGTGGGAGTGTTGAAAAAAATCCATTTAGTCATTTAGTCCTTGTCTGTTTGGGACCCTGCGATGCACAAAGCTCCATGCAGCAGGCCCATGGTTGCCAACCTGGGAATTTGGCGGGTTCGGCCATGGCAAAGTCAAACACCACCTGTGTTCTCGGTTAAATGTGCCTTCCTCACTGAAGATCATCAAGCCTCACCAATAATAACGAACTACATATCAAACCCCATGTTCACGAGTTCATTGATTATCCACGAAAGGATCACCAATCTCACTGTGAAGTGAATGCAAACACTGACAGCCTAGATTTTGATCTCACGCTTGGATAGTTGAGCCGTTCAAAAAGGAGTTCAATCCACACTTGAATCATTCCCACAGGCTTGCGGGACTTTGCCATGCCCGCCCGCACCGAAGCGAAGGAGGCGTCGCAGTGCCAGTGGCGCACTCATCGCTATATTTAAAATATTGTTGGGCGATGGCAGCCATACATGGCCAACCATCAAATAGTTTTTTT